AACTATTTGTTTCTCTTGTGCAGAACTTTGACATCTGCTATAGTAGTATATCTTCATTTAAATCGAAGAAACTAGAAGATAACTACTATAAGATAACAACAATTTATTCAATGAATTCCTCCTCTGCACAAACTCAACTCAAGTTGAATTTGAAGCTGGACTCGCAGCTTTATTAAACAAACTATCATAACTATATATAATCATATACATAAATATATAAGATTATTTAAAATAACTATATATAATACAGTCGAGTCTCCATAATTCGTAATCGAAAATCAGGATAGTTTGAAAAAATTATTTCTGCTTCAAAGAACTTCGTTCTCTATTATTCCCGATAATTTGAATTTTAATCGCCGAAAAAAAACCGACAATCGATAATAATAATTGAATAATATAATAAAACTGTCATAATATAATATTACCATATTAATAATATAATATTAACATATATAGTTGAAACTACTTGCAAGTAGCAACAGAATATTGTTTTTATTACCTTTAAAAAATTTTATTTAAATTATTTTACTATTCTCTCGTAAATTTCATTACCTTTATATACATTTATTTTACCAAAAGTAAGATAAATCGCTCTATCGATAAATCGTTCAATTTCTGCCCTGACAGCTTTAAGTGTTCTCTAAGAAACAACTCAAATGAACATCATTCTCTCAGCAACGATCTGTCTAGATTATGCACCTCATTTTATACTTGCTTCAAAATAAAAGAGTATCTAATCTTCGTCTTGTTTTTTTACATTTTTTGTTTGTTTTTAACCCCTTGTTGCAGTTGCTTTGCTTGTTTTGTTGGTGGCAGCTCCTGCGCCTTGTTTTAATAACATAATTGAAAAATGACTGAGGCCAGCCAAGGAGTGCACTGGCCACCAGAACACACATAAACACACACACACACAGAGAGAGACACATGGAATGCGTGTATGTTGTGCGCCGCACAGCTGGCTCTGATTACAGATGAGGAATGCGAAGGGTTGGTCGATCGCGTGCAATGCGTTATTAACATGCGTTTGTCCTTTTAATGGTGCCCCGTTAGGCGGCAACAGCAAAACAATAACAAGGCCTGCTTTATTACCGTAAATCAATAAGCGACAATCACACACACACACACCTAGGCTGATAATTAAGTGCAATTTTCTTGTTGTGGAATGACTAAAGCGTTTTGCACAGGATATACTGTCTTTTTACCGTTGTCCGTCATTTCGTCACAGCAAGAGAGAGGGTGGGAGAGTCATCTCTCTCTTTCTGTCCCTCTGTCCATGGCCAAGTAATGAGCATTCCGCGCTCCGGCATCAAATTGAAACTATTTTGCATAGCATTGGAAGCATTTTAATTTGAATTTCTTTGCAAGTGATCAGCGCAAGACTCGAGTGCTGGAACTTGCCAGCTGGACTGCTGGACTGCCCGCTGCTAGCTGCCTGGCTGCCCGCTGCCTGGCATCCCATTCACAATGGCAGCTAGCGCAGTGGCAGTGGGCGCCACTAATGGCGTCCATAGTTGCTGGCAACATTAAGGATAATTGTTGTAGTTAGCATGTACTTTTGCATTTATAATGTGCCTCATTTATTTCCGCTGCGTTCCTTTTCGCATTTCGCATTTTACTTTTCGCCTTTTTGAATTACTTCTTTGCATATCGCCCGCACTCCTCCCCGATAAAAATTATAGAAAAAAAAGAGAGGAATGTAAGAAGATGCTGATTATGCATTTTATTGCTTTCAGCTGTGGTGTTGATTGCGGCTGATTGCTTCAGAGCCAGGAGTAGGCGGCATAGCATTAGGCGTGGCGCTGCGAAATAGAATACAGCTGACAGGCAGCTAAAGCCAAGGTGGAATGCTCATTTATTATGCCAAAGATTTATAATTATTCGTATCTAGCAGCGCGAGGGCAAGAAAACTTAAAAGTTGTATCACACTAGATAATGAAAGTTCCGATATGAGTTCTATAATAAAGAGATATATTTCTTCACTTAAAGTTGCAAATATTGTAGCCTAAGCACTCAAGTACACTGCCAGTTGTAGCTTTTCACAATTACCTAAGCTGAATTAGGCACACACACACACACACACAAGAGCAGCTGCTGTCTGTGTGCGTGAGTAACTAATGGCATCCAGCTATTGCTGTCCACTAATTGGCAGCCAATGAACACTTACAAGCGCACTCTTATTAGCCACAACCCGATCCATTCGCTAGCTATCATAATTTCAAAGCTGAGCGCCAATTGCAAGTTCATAGCCAGAGGCAAGGACAGCAGCAGCAGCAGGAGTAGGAGTAGGAGCAGGAGCAGCGGCAGGGAGCTGACAGGCAGACAAACAAAATTGACGTGCCGACACGTCCAGCTAAACGGGCATAAGCGGGGCTCCTGCCCAAGCCACGCCCCCGCCTGTTGGCTACCACCCGCACAACAACCAAACGAACTGGCTGACAGACAAACAACAACAGCAACAACTATAACAGACAGAGCAAATTGTTGGCCAAAATGATAGACAAATGCAATTTGGAGCATGAGCAGGAGGCGGCATGAGGTGGCATGAGGCGGCAGGAGGCGGCAGCGAGTGTTTTTGTGTTAAAAATTGCATAAATAAATCATGTTCTAATATTGCACTTGGCCTTGCAGACAATCTGTCAAAATGCAGCGCACTCCACTCGCCGGCAGAGTGGGCTGACAGGAGTCGGCTGGAGTGGCATGGAGCCGGAGGAGGCGGCACACATAGATTGGATGGATGGCAGAAACAATGGCAACATGCCCGGCTACATGGCGTGAATGAGCGCGCACAAAATGGCGTTAAAGGCCGTCGGAAAACAGCTAAAAGGGCTATCGAACAATGGCACGAAAACCAATCGATGCCCGGCCATAGATAGCGGCCGGAGTCATCTAAGACCCGGACAACATGCTCGTTCGGCTGGCCGGCTCTGCTGTTGCCTGGCAGCAGACCACCGCAGCCTGCACTTGACAATGCGCCGCGCCGCTGAACGTGAAGTGGGTCCGGCGGCGGGGGCGGGGTTCGGGATCCGGGTACGGTGCGATGCGGTTCGATTCGGCTCGGTTCGATTGATGCTGTGATGCTCTAGGGTGGACTAGGGTGGCCCTGACATACTGAATCGCCTGTCTGTTTTGGCGCTTAATTCGTCACTAAATGAGATTTTTGGCTGCCTGTTTTACTTTTTTCCTTCTCTCACTCTCTCTCTCTCTCTCCCTCTCTCTCTCTCTCTCTCTAGCTTGATTGTGCAGTTTTTTGAAAACGCGTCTGCTGTTGCTGGCATTGTTGTGCTCCGTTTGAAATTGGTATTTTGGAAGTTGGTGCTGTGGCTTTTGGCCGGTACTGCTGCTCCTGCTGCTGCTGCTGCTGCTGCTCCTGCTGTTGCTGCTGCTTGGCGCTGGGGCAGTTGCAGCCACTTTGCAATAACACAGCGTGAAATTGCAACGGCAAATCGAATCAGTCCACACGGGAAATTCGATTCTCTTCCTGTTTTTTCTCTATTTTGTTCGCTTTTTTCGGTTTTTTCGTTGCTTTGCGCTGCCTTTTGCGGGCAATCAGACAGCAACAAATGCCTCGAACCCCGCACGGGCAGCCAGAGCAACTGAAACAGTTGGAGCAGGCGAGAGGCATGAGACCTGATGCAGATGGAGCTCTGCAATTTAGCACGCGCGAATTTTTTTTAGCCAAAAAACTGTTGCCCAAATCGACACAGAGACACACACGCACACACACACACACACGTAGTCAACTACAAAATAGGGATAACAGCGACGTGCTGATCGCTCAGTTGCCAAGTGGCCCACCAATGCTCCAGTGCAGCAGAGCATCCTGGCATCCTGGCATCCAGGCATCCTGGCATTCAGCACTCACTCAGCCAGCTGTCCAGTTGTCCAGTTGTTCAGCTGTCCATCCATCAACAGCTACAGCTCGACTTTTGCTCGCATAATGAAATGAAATTACAAAATGTGTGTTGCACGAGTGTTGAGCACGCTTTGTGGCACTTTTGCATAGTCCGTTGCTCACACACACACACACACACAGCTGCTGATTGCTGGCGCTTTCCTCTCTGTTGTTCAACAAATTGCATATTTATTGTTTAATAGTGTGATTGCTAACAACATTTGAGATTCCACAGCACCTACCCCTCCCCCCTTTCCCCTTTCATTGTGTTCGCATTGGATATTGTGATTGAAAACAGGTGTAGTACGTACGTACGTACGTGCATCTCCGGCGGACAGGTAACTGGAGCTTGTATACAAATATATACACATATTGTAGTTTGATTTTTGACTCTATCTCTCCTCAATCACTCTCTCTGCCCCCCTCCCACCGAATGGATTTTAATTTCTGTCTGGCTTTTCATGCCCAAACACGATTCCTTTGCAAACTGTTTGCCGAGGCTGCAAATTAAGCTGCCGCATAAAGATAATTGAATCCTCTTTGTTAGATTTGGATGCAACACAACTAGCGTCTAATATGAAGTTGTTGAAATTGTTTTCTTTCGAAATGAATTCTCATTGAACTAAAATCATTTCAATGTTTATGATTATATGGCTTGCTGTTTAGATGGAAATATTATCACATTATTTGTGAATTTTTTGTAAAATAATTTTCTGATAAATGCCAGAAATTAAAGGATTTGAATAGCAATTGAATTCATTAAAATTGTATCGACAAATGAGTAGTAAGTATGTAAGATCTGTTTTCCATGACTCTATAGCGCAATAATTAAACTTAATCAACAACAACAAAGATTCATTCACATTATCATTATTTCTATAATGACTCCAATTCTCACATCTACAGATTCCTTACGTATTCTTAACAGAGAAGAGTTTTTTTCGCTTTGCAACCACCTTATGGACTTCAATTGACATCCTCCTGCACGAGCTTATGGCAATTGCCATTCAAGCCTGACAAGCCTTCAAATTGATTTGCATAGTGATAGGCAGTGAAATATAATAATGACAAGACAATCGCAAATACAATGAAAGCCGTTTAGATTATCAGCTGAAAAGTGTCCCACACACTCGATTGTCGATCGGTGAATGTTGCCGACTCACTCTCTCCCTCCCTCTCTCTCTCTCTCTCGTGAACTTCCAATTTTGGTCATTGCGGCTGACAACATCGCACATTGTGAGCCGTGCGACAACCATTGGCGTCCATCAGTCGGGCAGTTGCCAATCAAACAAAAGTCACAGGCAATGGACAACTGTGGCAGCAGCAGGAGAAGCAGGAGAAGCAGCAGGAGGAGTATCATCATCAGCAACAACAACAACTGCATAACGATATGCAAAATATGCAACAGGCTGGCAGCTTCTGTGCTGATGCAGCAGCTGCACTCGACTCCTGGATGTTGTCGGAGACGTTCGCCTGTCGCTTTGCGCCCAATTACGCCTTCAAATTGAGTGATAAATGTCTTAAGGATGGCACATAAATAAGCTGCAGTTAAATTTATTACACGACCCACACAAAGACTTCATAAAAATGCAAACTAAATGAACTATTAAGAGGCGGCGGCAAACATGAGAAACAAATAAGAAACCCAGAAACCAAAGCCAATAAACAAACCGGCAGCCAAAAAAAAAAGAAAAGAAGCGAAAAAAAAAACTCGACAAACGAAATTCAAGATCAGACAATTGAATTGCATTGCGCTTAAGCAAATAAATAAAAAGCGCGAGAGCAAAACGAAAAAAAAAATAAACAGAGAAATGTAAGGGACAACAAACAAGTTACGAGTGCTGTGTGGCAAAGGGGGCGTGGCATGGGGAAGCCAGCAACAGCAGCCGTGTGAGAAAATATGCAAATAAATGCGCAAATAAAATGTGCAATCAACTGGAGATGGCGCACTGAGATCTGGCAACTGGCAACTGTGGCAACTGTGGCAACTGGCGACTTGCAACACGCAGCTCGCCTCCGTGCCGGTCCCCCTGCCCTACCCCCTCCCCATCCCCCCCTTCCAACGAAATCCAAAGTGTGAATGTTGCGCATGCGCAGCGACCGCGTGGAGAACACTGCGCATCAATTAGGCCGCCAGGCGGCCAGGAACAGCAGCACGAATTGTCCAGAGAGTGCGAGATAAGCCAAAGGCCTGGACACGAAGAAGCAGAAGCCACACACACACACACCAACACACACCAACACACACACAGATGCATACAAAACGTTTAGATAAACAAATACAGAAGAATGCTGAAATGCTGTTAAAAGCTACAAAATGAAGTGGAAGCTGGCGGCCCTCGAAATGGGATTTAGTTAAAGGGGCATCTCGTCGGATTGGCGGCCTCAGCCGGATTTCGCAGTGGACCCAAGCTGGCTGCAGCTACAAATTCAATGAACATGCGCGCGCACAGTTGAAGAGCAAACAAATTTATTACGCGCCGTTTGAACAGCGCATAAATTTAACAGCAGCAGCAGCAGCAACAACAACAACAATCCGCAGTTGCAGTCACAGTCGCAGCTGCAGTCGCAGTCGCAGTTGCAGTCACAGTCACAGTCAGAGAGGCAGTCAAGATTAACATACCTGGGCTAAAACGACTGTCCCACCGACTGGGCCCAATCGATCGCTGTGGCTTGCGTGCAGCGTGCGTGATTTAAAAACAGCGCCACATTTGGCGAACATTTACGTGGACTTGTCCCAAAACTACGTAAAACGATTTAGAGCCGAACACGAGCAATTTGTGGATAGGCTGCAGGCAGTCAAAAGGGGGGAGAGAGAAAGAGAGAGGCAGAGTAGCGCTAAGCCGAAGACCAAATGCTCTTGGAGTTACTTGAGAGAGTTGCTGTAGCTTAAAATTTGAACTTAAATAGTATATGAGGCGGATTGGCGGATAGAACGAGTGATATATAGGGAGTGTTATACAAAGAAAAGGAAAAAGCGATCTTGAGACGGTTCTGTTTACTAGGGAAATCTTTATGGAAAAACGGTGTACATGAAGTTTGCCAAGTATATGGCATATGAGGTTGTAGGTATTATAAGCAGATCATATCATATTTCTATATATCCCTAGCTCTAGGTAGGGTTAGATTAGTAGAAAAATGCAGAGAGTGAAAGATGTACATAGAGAAACAGATCCTCTGTTGGGACTGAGAATGCGATCCTCAAGATATAAATGTTATAAATCGATGCTGTTGATGGAGACATTTTCAGGAACAGCAAATCTTATCAGAGAGAAACATCACTTTGCCATCAATTCTATCCTT